CCTTACCTCTCCTTCGCTCCTACTCTTCCTTTTTCCCTTCCTACCCTCTTTCCTTCCATTTCTCTCCCTTCCATCTTCTTTTCCTTTCCCTTTCCTTTCTCCCTCTCTCCCTTCTCTACATTCCTCCTTCCTCCTCTCCTTCCCCTTCCTTCTTCTCTTGCCTCTCTTTCGCTCCTACTTTTCCTTTTTCCCTTCCTACCCTCTTTCCTTCCATTTCTCTCCCTTCCATTTTCTTTTCCTTTCCCTTTCCTTTCTCCCTCTCTCCCTTCTCTACATTCCTCCTTCCTCCTCTCCTTCCCCTTCCTTCTTCCCGTACCTTTCTCCTATTCCTACTCTTCCTCTTCCCCTTTCTCCTCCTCTTCTTACCTCTTTCTTCTTTCCCCCATCTTCCTTTCAATCTCACCCCCTTTTCCCCTTTCTTCTTCTACTATTATTGGTGTTTCTATTTTAAATCTCAGTTTATGCTGAGATGGTACTTCCGCCAACCCAGATATAATTTAGTATCATTTCTTATTCCCTTACCTTTACTAGTTTATCCTAACTATATTTCCCCTCACAGACACACTTGGCACATGATTATTGTTGCACAATACATAAGGAATCGTTTGAGTTGAGTTGACACATTTAATCCTTAGTTTTCAGGAATCCATTAATTCAGGCTAAGACAGGTTTTAAAGAATTGGCACCTTTGTTTCAGGCTCGAAAAGGCTTGGAAAAAATGCGCTGTTTTGATTAATAGTTGAGAATTACTGAGCTGATATGAGGTACAGAGCACTTCATTCTGGGACAATATCCAGGAGTACTAAAAATCTTCAGAATACATATACTGTCAACAGATGGGAGACATACAGGAAGCTAAATTCCTATGAGGAAAAGCTATGGAGAACCTCACAAATAATCTTTCTTTTCCTTTCTGGAAAAAAAAAAACCTTAAATTGCTAAAGTGCTAGGAAAACATTCTCTATAATAAACTAAGAAAATGAATGTGCAAAGAATATCACAATACAAACATAAAATTAATGTGCAATATTCACGGGGGGGGGGGGGGGGGGGGGGGAATCAACTTAAACACTTTTTAGTCACTGAACAGTTTGATGTTAAGGGCACCCAATTTGGCCTTTGCTGCCATCT